CGCCCCACCCGCGCCCTCACCCACGCGAGACAAAAGCCACCCCGGGGGTGGGGGACGGACCGGGGGGGTGGAACACGGGGACACCGGCCCCCGTGCGCCGAGCCTCCCCGCCTCGCCGCAGTCCGGATTTAAGAGCCCGGCCCCGGGTCACCCGGCGCTACGGGGAGGCGGGCGCCCAGATTTAAGAGGGGGAGGAAGGTAAAAATCGCCCAGAACGCCAAGTTTCGGGTTCGGCGACAGATTTTGGCCGGGTGCCGTTCCGGGCGTGACGCGACACCGAGGACGCATCGCCCCGATAAAGCTTATTTTGCCCGGATTAAACCCCCACCCCGCGTCGGCCCTGCTCGCAGGTAGGGACGTGGCGGGTCCCCAGCGCCCGAGGATGGGCGACGGAGGTCTGCCAGCGAAGATCGGCGACGGCAGCCCGGGAAAGGGAGCAAACCCAAACGGGCAGGGGAAGGGCCGGCAGCTCTCTAATACCGACGACGACAGAAAACAGCAGCGGCAGAGCCTGGGCCGCGCAACGCCCCGCGCCGAGGCGGCTGCTCCCCGGGCAGAGCATGCTCGGCCGGGGTCAGCGGTGCCCGCACTTGGGGCATCCGAAGGCCCGTGTCGTCTTCAGGGGCCAGTGGGGCAGGAGCAACGCAGACCTCTCCCTCCCCGGCACTACCCCCGGCACACCGCAGCCAGCGCAGGGCCCGGCGTCGTCAGCTAAAACAACAAATACGGACGGTATTAGTACAAAGATACCCTTGGGGTAAAGCAGCGCAAATGTAATCTAAGGAGAACGTTATGGGGAAGTGTGTTTATAATTATAATGGGATTTAATGTACTTTGGGACCAGATGATAGCAGTCATTTAACGAGAACAGCCTAATAACAGAGGCCTCACAGTGAAAGGCGGTGCTGCTCGGGTTATTAGACGCGTACGATAACGCAGCGCTCGCGGTAGTATACGTAAGGGTAAGGCATCAGCCACCCCTATTTTTTGGGGGGTTATAACTCTGCCGTTTTAACTGGCGGAGAGTGAAAACGCGGAGTGCAGGCAGCCAGCGTGCCTGCAGTATGGTTTTTTTAATTGCCTGATACTGCTCGAGTTCCTCCCCCTCCCCGACTTTTAAATCCAAATGACTGAAAGGGGGGAAATAGCGAGACAGTGTGGTTTCAGGTGTTTATTTACCCTCCTCTAACTTTTAAAAGGCTTGATTTTGGGACTGAAATTTTGCAGACGGTTAGGGGTATGTTTTTAGCGTAGCTCGCATGAAATTAAGCTGCGTGAGTCCCATTAGCAATAATGGAAATCCCACGGCTAAATTCCCAGGCAGCATCCTGAAAATTAACCCCCCAGTCCTTCCCGTCAACTGGTGCGTTGCGCTTTTTGTTGCTCCTCTAACACATATACTAAAAGCTACTGAGTTGTTTAAGAGACTAACTTCCCGCAGCTGCCTTGCCCAAAAGGTACCCGCCCGCCTGTCGACCCCGAGCAGGGAAACCCCCTGCGCCCCGAAGGCCTCCCCAGACCCCCAGCATGCTGCCGCGTTGGTGTTATGGCTGGAGCGGGCTGGTGTCTTTGGAGACCTCCCTGGGCAGCGGAGGCTTTGAATGCGAATGTTGTGTTGCCTTCAGAGGCAAAGCAAGATGAAAGAGCTGGTTAGACGACTCTGGCCAGAGCATCCTTCTGCAAGCCACGTTTGCCAGCCAAAACCTACAAGATCCCCCTTCACTCAGGGATTTCTTCCCTTGCCCACCTCTCTGTCGGAGCGGGCCATGCCAAAGCAAGCTCTGGAAACCCCAGACCTCCCCCAGGCACCGCGGAGCAGTTTTTCCCGAGCCCTCCGGCCAGCCCGCACTGCCTCTGCCTGTACCTGAGCCCCGTTTCCTCCCAAAGTCTTACAGTCTGTTCCCCCCACATGCCTGTGCACACACGGAGATGGCAGATCCCTTGCTGGCAAGAAGACAGAGTGAAGACAGAGTGATTGTAACATGCATAAAACGGGAAAAAGCCAGCAACTCTTGTCCGTGACCTCCAGCAGCAACTCCCTTTCCCCCAGCAATGCCCCCCACATGCTGCACAGGGGAAATACAAAAGAAATGCCAACTCCTTCCTGCAGAGCCTTGGCAATGGTGCCCATCACCTCGCTTATGTCGGGTGCCTCGCTCTGGAACGGAAAGGTCTGATCTGGATGCATTTGCAAGCCAAAGAGGAAAAGCAAAAGCAGCCCCTTGCCTTCATGCCCCAGAGAAGGGAAGGAAAACCATCTCCCAAGTTCCAGCACCAGCCCTGCCGGCATGCCACGAGCCCAGTGGCTCCAGGGTGGGAGGTTCCTGGTGGAGCAGGAGCAGCCCCAGTGGCCCTGCAGGGCAGGGGGGCAGTCACAGGGCTGCCCAGCACCTGCAGCCCCCCAGGTGCAGCACATCGAGATGCCGAAACAAAGCTCGGGAAGCCACCCCTGCAGCCTTGGGGGTCGTTTCCCCGTGCCCTGGCGCAGGAGTTAATCGCTCGTCACTCCCCCCCCCGCCCCAGTACCTTCCCTTTCCCTCCCATCTCTCCCCATCAGTTTCCAATTTATTTACTTTTCTGATCTTAATCCCCACCTTGTAGTGTAACGTGTTTATTAGAAAAGAACCAGCACGTTAAATGAAGCCAAGCTGGGCTCTCATGTTAAATAGCAGTCACGCCCAAGTGCCTCTCCATGTGCCATTACTCCAAGTGATTGAGGCAATTTCTTCCTCCGCCACGAGTTTCAGTTGTAAATCTCTCAACCAGATACGGGGGCAATGATGTGCTGCCTGGTGCGATTATTATTAACCTCCAGCATTAAGCTCGTGAGACGTCCGTGGTTTCTCGGGAAGGTCTTCCCATCAAAGGGCCAGGCAGAGTACGGGCATCCTTCCTGGGAAACCTAGGGATCCCTTCAGATCCACTTGTAGCCCCCAGGCCTGCGTTTATTTTGGATGGGGAGACGTGAACGTTGGCTTGCCTGACAGAAATAGCCCGGTAAACATCAGCGGGCCCGCAAGAAGAAAAGCTCCACAAAGCATGGATAGGGCAAAGTCATGGCGTGGAAGTATTTGAGGGATGCCAGCACGAGCAGCTTCAGGCTGCTCCTCCGGGACTCAGCTAGGCACACAGAGGAGAAAAATAAAACAGAAAAGTCTCCAAAGTTACAGTAAGAGAGGAAATCCCTTGTTCAGGGGGATTAGCCCCCCAAAAAACATGGCTGAAGACAACTTCTTGGCAAACGGGTCCCCCGGCATCATCCGTCCTGCGCCAACAGGAGGGAAGGAGGACTCCCCCCAGCTGGCTCCCCTCTGTCACCACCCAAAACCCGTGCACAGGCAGCTGCTCTTTTCCCTCTCCCCCGGGTAAATGCCCTTTTCCATCACCTGCACTCCCCCAGCAATATTAGACAGACTCCTGATGCCCTTGCTTTCCACCCCAGAGAGGGACGCGACGAAATGGCTCCCACTTCTCCAGCTTGCTGGGCCCTGAATTCGGTTGCCCCCAGCCCAGCTCTGCCCCCTGGACCTCTTCTCCCTGCTGCTTCGGAGAACTGGCTGGCACACACCCGAGCTGCGCACAGGGCGAGGGGACGGAACTTTCCTACGGTGCAACTCGTGCGTTTTCTGATGAATAGTTTTGTTTCGCCTTTGGTGTCTTTGGAGGGTTCTCCGGTCTTGCTGGTGCAGAGCTGAATTCTGAAATACTGGAACAAGGATTTTGTGCAAAGATCTGTTTTAATGGAAATCAACAATCCATGACTTCTAAGAACTGGTTTTTGTTACCGCTTCAGGCTTCCAGAGAAGTTTACAGCATCCAAGCTCTCGCGTGTGCATGCAGGGGACCAGGATTTTGTCAGGCACGGTAGCTTCGCTCAGAGATGGGGTAGAGCATGGTGCTCCACTGTCGCACGCGGCAAGCTGACAGCTTATGAAAAGATGATTAAATGTGTTAGACTTTATTTAAAAAAACCCAAACCTAAATGCACAAAGCTGTTTGCAAGGGGGAGGGAGGAAAGCCGTGGCGGGCCCCTGGAAGGCTGCACAGCGTGCAGCCACGGCGCGTTAAGCTCCCTGTGAAACCCATTGATTAGCACCAGGATCCGTCCAAGCCGTGTGGATATCAGACCCAAGCGCATTGTGGCGGCACGGGGGAGCAGAGGAGTCGGGAACAGGCCCTTTATTGTGCCCCTGCTCGCCGCACAAAGGGAAGCCGAGAGTCACTCTGAGGATGCAGCTGGTTGGGGGGCTGCGGCGTGGGGCACAAGCGGCGCGGCTTTGCGCTTCTCTGCAAGTTACCCACGTTGCAATTGAGGCCAAAGTAAATAGTTGCAGGAGCACGGCTGTGGCCAAACCCGGCGGAGCTGCACAGGAGCTCTCCCGTTGTCGTGGGGAAGGTGAACGTGTAAAGTCGAATAATTCAGACGGAGCTAACTAGACATGCCTGGACCGTCACGGGGCGAGCACGCTGCAGAAACCCTTGTCTGCCCTTCCCCACGCGCCTGCCTTTTCCCTTCAACATACCGGCCCTGGCTCGGCAAGGGACACAATCCAGCCAACACTTGAGCATGCGAAAAAGGCATGGCAGCAGCCATGAGGATAACTGCGTCACCCGCCTCGTGACCCAAACAGCCGGGTGTGTCACCGTGCACATCTGCGTGGCTCTGCCGGGCTGAACGGGGCTGCTGCACGCGTGCGTCTGCGCGCGACCGGCGGCTTCCCAGCCTGAAAAATCCTCCTTTTCCTTGGGGTTGTTTTTTTTTTTTTCAGCTGGGCTCCTTTAAGGGATATCGCATCCGAGCAACAAACGGGGGACACTAAAATCCTTACGGCTCGACATTTCTGCTCCTAAGCACCACTCCGAGTCCCAACTTTGTTCATCCAAGCAGGGGCTCACAGCCATAGGTTTGCGCTGCGGCGAGGATGA